TATATATATATATATATATATATATATATATTATATTTACTTTTTCGATCTAATGTTAACACCGTTGTTGCATAACCCAAGTGTTAACTCCGCTAAATTAAAGAAAGGCATCTTCTAAACATACCTAAGAAGGTTACATTAGTACAGGTTTCATTTGTTTTTTTAAATTTAATTCCAAATGAAGTACAGCAAAACACTGACCCCTAAAGATTATAAATCTACCAGAAGAATCAAGATGCCATTATTGGAAAGATTCTACCATTACCTCAACAGTCCTAACAATAAGCTGCGGTGATTTTCCTTGAGTTCTCATCAACAATTAACACCATCCATTAACACCTAATGATTAAAAAGCTTAACTCGTCAAGTGTAATTTCAAATTTTCAAGAGTGGATTTTTACCTTTTAAACAAATCAGCCACCACATTTCAAGTTGGATGACAAAATGTCATTAACTAGTGAAATAAATACTGGAGCACCTAAATGTTGTGTTGTCATCCCTGTTCTTTTTACACACTGTACCAATGATATCCAGAGCCTAAACAGCACAGTTCTAATCAATAAATCTGTTGACGATAGGCCCTTTGTGGTCTAATTAAATGAAGGTAAAAGTTAGTAACGCAACTTATTTACAATCTCTAATCAGTTAATATGATGAACATTTTCTTCAGTTTAAAGTCTCAAAAGTGAAAGAAATTATTATAGAAATACGCAATTGCATTTCGTACAATACACAATCCCAGTATAAAGCAAAAAGAGAGATATATGTACCTAGGTGTCACCATTAATTATAAGCTGACATGGCATGAACACGGTCAAATTATGTTATATAAAAGTCCAACCAAAAAATTTTTCTAGCTTTAAAAAAAAAATTGTGCTATTTCCGTGCAAAGATAACAAGCTATTAACTTATTTGAGAATGCAAGAATTGGAAGCTTACTAAGCTTTTTCTCTTTAAGTTAGGACCAAAAGATTTAAAAAGTCTGTATTAATTTACCAACGTGCTCTCCCAGCTGTTATCAAATCTAAATGATGACCAATTACGTCATTATTGTCCCTAAATTAGATCATTTTGTCTGATTTCTACGCTAAATAAATACTTTGATGTCTTGTAAAATCTACTTTTTTAAATGTATATATTTATGGAATGCAAACACAATTATTTTATTTTGATCAATAAAGAATTTTATTTTAACTTACATTATGTTATCATATTTTATCATTGGCTGTAATGCATTTGATCCACTAAAAGTTAACAAAGGTTTAAATAAATTGTAGATCCATTTGGCCTGGCTATCCCTTGTTTAGTAGAGATCAATGAATATACTAATTATTTCAATTTAAT